TTTATTGTTCAGATTACAGTTGTTCCTCTTTTTTTCCCCCATAGCTTCCCTCCACCCAGTTCCCACCCCATCCCATGCCCTTAGTCCCCCCACCCACTGTCCTCGTCCATAGGTGTATGATTTTTGTCCAATCTCTGCCCGCACCCCCCACACCCCCCACACCCCCTTCCCCTGAGAATTGTCAGTCCACTCCCTTTCTATGCCCGATTCTATTATATTCACCAGTTTATTCCGTTCATCAGATTTTTTATTCACTTGATTTTTAAATTCACTTGTTGATAGGTATGTATTTGTTGTCACTTTGTTGTTCATAATTTTTAAAAAAATATTTTTATTGAGTTTCAGACAAGAAGGGAGAGGGAGAGGGAGATAGAAACATCAATGATGAGAGAGAATCATTGATTGGCTGCCTTCTGCACAACCCACACTGGGAATTAAGCCTGCAACCCGGGCATATGCCCTGACTGGGAATTGAACCCGTGACCTCCATCCAGGTTCATAGGTCGACACTCAACCACTGAGCCACGCCAGGCGAGCTGTTGTTCATAATTTTTATCTTTACCTTTTTCTTCTTCTTCCTCTTCTTAAAGAATACCCTTCAGCATTTCATATAATCCTGGTTTGGTGGTGATGAACTCCTTTAGCTTTTCCTTATCTGTGAAGCTCTTTATCTGACCTTCAATTCTAAATGATAGCTTTGCTGGGTAAAGTAATCTTGGTTGTAAGTTCTTGCTATTCATCACTTTCAATATTTCTTGCCACTCCCTTGTGGCCTGCATAGTTTCTGTTGAGAAATGCACCCCTTTGAGGGCTGTGTGCACTTATAGGTAGGCCTTGATTGCTGTTGGTATCCCTGGGAGGAATTGACCTCCAGGCCAATTGGTTGTGAGGACCATCTGTGTCTACAATGTGTTAACGTAAAAAAACCATTGAAACCTGTAAAGAATTTTTGTGAGTTTATTTGAGCCAAACTGTCGACATATGCCAGGAAGCAGAACCTCAACGAATTGAGATAGTGCTCTGGAGAATGGCAGGGTTACATCCGTATTTATACATGAAATTCATTGGTGACAGATTTAAGGAGGTGGGATTAAGCGAAGCGGGGGAAACCTCTAGGATAGGATAAAAAGTAAAATGATGGACACATACTTAGGTGGGTGCAGGATCAATTAACATGATAATGAAGGAATTTGTGGCATCTGTCCTGGCGCCCAGCACCTTTGGTTGTGCCCCAGGGGCTCCAGAAAAAGGGAAATCACAAGTTACCCAGACATTTCAAGGGTATGTTATCATAGATGCAAAAAGACAGATAGGCTCAGTTACAGTAAAGGTTGACCTTATCAGTGAAGATATCGGCTTAGGACGCAACTGCCCACCATAACTGCTTTTAGTTAAGGTTTAATTTCAGACCATCCTTTGTGGTTACTTTAGGTCTCTGAGTCTGCAAAACTGCCATGCAGGCCTCTCCTGAGCTTGTCAGGTCAGCATGTGGCCCCTTTCGTCCACAAATGGAAGAACTACTGTGCTGGAGACACCCTTATGTGGCAGGACTTGCTTCAGTGGGGGTTTGGTGCTGAGTCTGCCCCTTGAGTGTGTCACTTATGAATGTGAAGAGTTGTAATCTGGTATGGTTTCACACTGACAACTGGGTACACTGGTTCTTGGATCTCCAAGGAGGTGCAAAGTCAGCCACTGCCTGAGGCCACCCAGCAGGAGCTACAGCAAGATCTGCAGATTCCTCCTCTTTGTTTGGAGTTTGGAAGTGCCCAGATGAGGCCCAGCTGTGAAGCAAGGCAGCTACTGCTGCCAAGCCTTGGGCCTTCTTTTGGAAGCTTTGGAGCTCTCTGACCCAGCTGCAGTTTGTTAGGCTAGGCTACAAAACCACAGGCCATTCATATGCAAAAGCAGCTTGGGTGGGGTTGTAAATTGGGTGGGGCAGGGTTTCAGGGAATCACCAGGGTGGAGCAAACAGCAATGGCTGCCAGTCAGCCCTACACCAGGGAGGTTCCCGCATCTCCACGTCCTGAGCCCCTACGCAGGGACAATGATGGCTGCGAGCACCTCTGAGAGAAAGCCGCCCTCATGTTCCTGTCCCAATGCCAGACAGTCTAGTTTCTCCCCGTATGAGTCTGCATCCCCAGAGTCTCGCCCAGAACTGGAGTTCAGAGCAATCAGGAGCTTGTATCTCCCTCCCAATTGAAAAAAACAACAGCAGCGCACCCAGTTGCCAGCCTGTTTCACGAGCACCTCCGCACCTCTGCACCTCTGTACCTCCTACCAGTCTTAATGTGCTTTTTTCTTTCCTTCTAGTTGTAGAACTTCCACTCAGCCAGCCTTCCCGTGGTTCTGGATGATATTTGTTTTGTCTTTTAGTTGTAGTTTTGATGTGATTGTGAGAGGCAGCAAGTACAGGTGTTTACCTATGCCGCCATCTTGGTTCTCCTCTCCAGTTCGATCAATAAGCTTTTTATTAAACAAAAGCTGAGACCAGCCGAAACCGGTTTGGCTCAGTGGATGGAGCATCGGCCTGCAGACTGAAGGGTCCCAGATTTGATTCCGGTCAAGGGCATGTACCTGCGTTGCGGGCACATCCCCAGTAGGAGATGTGCAGGAGGCGGCTGATCGATGTTTCTCTCCCATCAATGTTTCTGGCTCTCTATCTTTCTGCCTTCCTCTCTGTAAAAAATCAATAAAATATATTTAAAAAAAAAAAAAAAAAAAAAGCTGAGACCAAAGTCATATAAAAATTGGGAAGATATACATGCTTATAGTTTGGAAATGTTTTAAATCAAGATAAATTGTTTTTAAGTTACAAAACCTATTGAAGAAAAATTCCTCATTCTATAACATTAGTTATCTAACCTGTCATAATATAAAATTATATCCAATAGTTATAAGATATAATTAATGTAAGATATGTTTTAAGTTATTAGTACCACATGAAATTGTCTTTTTATACTTAGAAACAATCAAATGTTGGCAATTTCATACAGTAGATCTATAACAATGTATCAAAGTTTGTGAATATTTTATGTAAAAAAATACAAATTAGAGCAAATCTAGGTCATCACAACAGAATGGCTCTTACAACTGAATTCCAATAATCGAGTCAAGTGGGAAAGGAATGGAATTACAGCTGAAAAAGGAGGAATTTTACTTTTATCCTTAAGCACTTCTGAATTATTTTTCTTTTCCCAGATGTATAATTACTATGGTAGACTGGAAAATACCACCCCTCAAAGGTTCTCATGCTCTACTGATCAGTTCTATACCTGTTTATGTTAAATTACATAGCAAAAGGGACTTTGTAGATCAGTTAAGGTTACACACCTTAAAATAGTGAGGTCATCCAGGTGGACCCAATGTAATTAAATGGACCATTAAAGGTGGAAGGCAAGAAAGGTTGGTCAAAGATAATAGAAGCAGCAAGCCCTAGCTGGTTTTGCTCAGTGGATAGAACGTCAGCCTGAGGACTGAAGGGTCGTAGATTCAATTCTGGTCAAGGGCACATCATACCTCGGTTGCAGGCTCAGATCCCTGGCCCTGGTCCGAGTGCATGCTGGAGGCAAACAATCAATGTCTCTCTCACATCAAAGTTTCTCTCTGTCTCTCCTCCTCCCTTCCATTCTTCTAAAAAAAAATCAATGGAAAAATATCCTTGGGTGAGGATTAATACACACACAAAAGAATAGAAGCAGAACAGATGTTAAGCAGGAGAGGAAACTTGACCTGCCATTCCTGGCTTTGAAGAGAAGGGGACCATGAGCCAAAGAATGCAGGCAGCCTCTAAAGGCTGGGAATGACTTAGCTGAGAGCAAGGAAAAGGGGGCCCTGATCCTTCATTCCAAGGATCTGAATTCTGCCAATAAATGAATGAGCAAGGAAATATCCTCCACCCTTACCTCTTAGCTCTCACTCCAGAAAAGAACGAAGTCCTGCCCTAGCCAGTTTGGCTCAGTAGATAGAGCGTCAACCTGTGGAATGAAGGGTCCCAGGTTCGATCCTGGTCAAGGGCATATGCCCGGGTTGTAGGTTCGATCCCCAGTGGGGGCGTGCAGGAGGCAGCCGATCAGTGATTCTCTCATCATAGATGTTTCTATCTCTCTTCCCTTCTCCCTTCCTCTCTGAAACCAATAAAAATATGTTTTTAAAAAAAGAATGAAGTCCTACCAACACCTTGATTTTAGTCCAGCTGGGACCCACGTCAGACAGACCTACAAAATATAAGAAAATACATTTTGTTGTTTTGATCTACTAAGTTGTGGTAATTTGTGATGATTGCAAGAGAAAACTTATACACCTACCTTAGTAAAACCTCCAGTTTAAAGGACGCATCAGAGCTCAGCCAGCATGGTTCAGTGGTTGAGCGTCCACCTATGAACCAGGAGGTCATGGTTCAATTCCCAGTCAGGACATATGCTTGGGTTGTGAGCTTGATCTCCAGTGTGGGGCATGCAGGAGGCAGCTGGTCAATGATTCTCTCTCAACATTGATGTTTCTATCTCTCTCTCCCCTCCTCTCTGAAATTAATAAAAATATTTTTTTTTAAATAAATGAAGAACCATCAGAGAAAGTTCCCTATAGTCATTTTAACCGTATTTTTTTAATCCTCATCCGAGAATGTGTTTTTTTTTATATCGATTTTTTTTAGAGAGGGAGGGAGGAAGAGAGAGACAGACAGAGAGACACAGATGTGAGAAACATCTGTTGGTTGCCTCCTGTACCCGCCCTGTCCAGGGATGGAACCCACAACTTGGGTATGTGCCCTGACCAGAAATCAAACCTGGTCACCTTTTGGTGTACAGGAGGACACTCCAACCAACTCAGCCACACCGTCCAGGGCTAACTATATATTTTTTAAACAACCATATTTTTAAAAAATTCTATTTATATCTGGTCTTTAATGATTCTGGTATATCAAGTTGTAGCTGAGATTGAAAATGTGCACAACCAATAAAAATAATAAAATAGTGAACAAATAAAAGCTAAGCAGTCAATTATTTTATATAAAAATTTAAAAAATTCTATTTATTATTAAAAACATTTTATCTAGGAGTGATTTCTAAGGCAGCATCTTGAGTTTCCATAAACACAGAACTTTCTGTTTCAGAAGGAGTATCAATAAGAGGACCAGAATCCTCTACTTCCAAGTGCGGTGGTTTTTCCTGTTCATAGCTCAGGTTTGAATTAAACTTCATTTGAATGTTTTGCTCTTCCAACTCCAACGGTTTATCTGGGGCTGGAGCTACAACTTCTTCATCTTCATTTTCATGTAGAAAGTTACAAATCATGTTGGGTCTATTGGAGAAATCATTATCCTCGATTTGCAGCCATTCCACACCACCTAATGGGGGTATGGGGAGTGTTTAAAGGTGGGAAGACAAACCAAGAAAGAAACATGAAAAAAAAATTTTAGTTACTTAAGTATATTTTTCTTTAAATTTTCATCCCATCAATATATGTCAAAGTGAAACGCCAACATAAACCAAGGATCATGGTCCCTATAACTACTGATAATCACAAAATTTCCATCTTACATGGAGACCTTGTTATGCTTATAGGCCCTATAATATAGGGTATGCATCATCAAAATCACTAAAAGTAATCTGCTTCAGTTACTGCTACAAGCTTTTCTTCCCATAGTTCAATTTCCAACTCATTCTGAGAGATAATTTGAGCTCTCACTGCCATCTCATACCTTAAAGAAAACTGTCACTTCTCTACCATTTTCTCCTTACGCACTTAGTTTTCATATGACCATGGAGGATTCTACTCTATCATCTCAAATCAACACATATATGTCATTCTGAGTTGGGACATCCAATTGTCAAATAAAACACCTCTCAAAAACAAACAAACAAACAAACAAACAAACAAAAACCTTGAAAAATGTTTGTTCCTTTCCATAGTCATAGTCAATGCCCTAACCCCTCAATAAACCCCTACAATCAAGAATTGCTCCCAGATTGGTGCAGCCACTCTGGAGAATAGTATGGAATTTCCTCAAAAAGTTAAAAATGGAACTCTCATTTGACCCAGTAATCCCACTTCTAGGACTATATCCCAAGAAATCAGAAAGGGCATACTAGTATACAACCCTATCTATGTTCATAGCAGCACAATGTACAATAGCTAAGATTTGGAAACAGCCTAAGTGCCCATCAGCAGATGAGTGGATTAAAAAACTGTGGTACATCTACACAATGGAATATTATGCTGCTATAAAAAAGAAGGAACTCTTACCATTTGCAACAGCATGGACGGACCTGGAGAGCATTATGCTAAGCGAAATAAGCCAGTTGGAGAAAGATAAATATCACATGATCTCACTCATTTGTGGAATATAATGAACAACATAAACTGATGAACAAAAATAGATCCAGAGACAAAGGAACACCAAACAGACCGTCCAACCTCAGAAAGAAGGCGGGGGGGGGGGGGGGGTTTAAGAGATAAACCAAAAGACATGTATGCATGCATATTAGCATAACCAATGGACATGGACACTGGGGTGGTGGGGGCTTGTCCTGGGGGGTGGGAGTGACCAGGGAGTGTGGGGAAGCATGGGACTTGGTTGGAAAGTCTGTAAGGAGGAATCTCCAAAAGGTTGGGGGCCTCTAGGAAGGCCTTGCCAAAGGCAGCAAACCCTGCCTTGCCTTTTCCAAACAAGTCTGAGCCCCCGGGTGTTTCACTGGAATCTTTATATTTAGACTTCCAAACATCCCGCTTAAAGGACACTACAAATGCATGTGTCTTCTCAAGGATGCTTACCCTGCTGATAGTATCTAATAGTTAATTTTAGTTCAAGCTGTTATAATAAAAGCCTAAGGAGGCAGGCGAATGGGGCTGCTTGGTTGCTATAGCCAAGCAGTCCTTTAGCCCTCTCTTTCACAGAAACATGTGTCAGAGTAATCCATTTATCCATACCTCAGGGTCTGCTGGTCAGTCTTGGCAGGGGAGGGGTCGATCAGGGAAAAAGGAGACATATGTAATACTTTAAACAATAAAAAAAGAGCCGAAACCGGTTTGGCTCAGTGGATAGAGCATCGGCCTGTCGACTGAAAGGTCCCAGGTTCGATTCCGGTCAAGGACATGTACTTGGGTTGCGGGCACGTCCCCAGTGGGGGATGTGCAGTAGGCAGCTGATCGATGTTTCTCTCTCATCGATGTTTCTAACTCTCTATCGCTCTCCCTTCCTCTCTGTGGAAAATCAATAAAATATATTTAAAAAAAAAAAAAACAATAAAAAAGAAAGTTTAAAGTCTAAAAACAATTGCTCCAATGGTAATTTTTATTATTCTTATTACCCTTTCAGGCAAATATTTTCAATGGATCCTCTTTAATTTCTTCTTTTATAGTTTCATGGTTAATATTTAATGCTTAAAAATCTTTGATACTTGTAACAGTATTCTGGGTTGTTGTGAAAAAGTTTAAGATTAAGTTAAGATTTTTTTCCCCCAGTGTTGCAACAAAATCTAGGTTTTTTTTGCAGTTATCTGCTTCATTCTTTTCCCCCTTTTTATTGAATTTATTGGGGCCTCATTAATTTCTATTGCAAGCCCAAGCTGTTTAGTCTCATTCTCAAAATTCTGACAGATATTAAGATACCCCAACCTATCTCGCCACCCTATTCACACTTCCATCTGCTCTGTTCCTCACCATAACTAACTCTTTTGCAACTGTTTGTTGACACTTCCTAATTATTGATCCCATGTCTTCTCATATGTTATGCCTATAAAGTCTCCATCAAAAATGTATTAGTCCTTTTCTCTCTAGTTCAGTTTCAACTACTGGCTTTTATATTTTTTTCTGCAAAAGCACTATACTACCACTCACCCAGGTTCAAAATCTTGAAGTCATTCCTCCCCCCTGCCCCGCCCTCACAGGAGAGCACGCAGTCCCCGACTACCACAAATTATGCAGTAGAATTCCCCACATTTGAGGAAATCACAGGGGTCAGCACATCACAGTGCAATAAATAAGCCTCACCCTGTGAAAACCACCTTCGTAATCATGGTATCTCCCCGGCCAGGCAAGTATTGAAGCCATTCTTTAGTCTTACTTTACATGATACTTGCCACCTAACAGATACTTAAAATAAGGTGAATGAAATGGGTGTTGTTACACTGAGCCATGTGTTTCAATGTGACTTACTTTTAGAATGCAAGTTCCTAAAAGGTAGGGGCCACATCTCCTAACTATTCTGTTCTGCCTCCAGCATATTGCCATGTTTGGTGGGCAGCCACCAGATGGTCCCCAATGATCCTCCCTTCCTGGTATTCAAGCCCCTGTGTAGTCCCCTCCCACACTGAATAGGATACTATAGAAATGACAGAATGACTTCTAAGGCTATTCATAAACGACATCATGGACCATGTGATCTGGGAGAAGCCAGCTGCCATTTCAGGAGGGCATTCAAATAGTACTATGGGGAAGCAAGGAACTGAGGCCTCATGCTAACAGCCTGCACAAACTGGCCAGCCATGTGAGTGAGCTATCCTATATAATTAGATCTTCCAGCCTTGCTCAAGTCTTCAGGCACTGCAGCCCAGCCAACATACTGTCTACAACCTCATGAATTCCAAGCCAGAACCACCTGGCTAAGCTACTCCCAAAATCTGGATTCACAGAGACTGTGTAAGAGAGGTGGGGTTTTTGGTTGTTGTTTTGAGTCATTAAGTTCTGGGTAATTTCTTATGCAGCAATAGGTAACTAATACTTGGTTACTAATTTATTTGATTAAACAAAACACCAACATCTTCTCAAAGATCTATCAGATTATTAAAGACTACAGGAGAGGAAATTTTATAATCTGCTTGAATGAGTATCTAAAGCTAGCTAAGCTTCTCTGATATGTATCTCCTTTTCGGGGTCATTCCAGAACTTCAAGTACCTCCTTCTTCCCGTTATTTTCAGAGTGCCTAAAAAAGGGGAGAGTTTAGGGGTATACATGATAAGAACAAAGATTTATCCTGTAGTTATGTTAGTTGGTATAATTAATTTCTACATGATTAGTGTACCTTCAAATGTTAATTCCTTAAAATATAATAAATTTATCGAGCCATGAATATTCATCACTAGAGTCATATTTACAAGGGTTTCAAATATGTCTTTGAGCAATGAGCTTTTAAACCATCAGGTGGTTATTTGTTCATCTCTACAAATATGTGCCTGCTATGGGTGCAAGTAGCACTGGTCTACAGTCTAGTCTGGGACAATCAGCACCTAGAGAAGGCTAAGTGAATGCTAACTAGGAACTAGACTCCGGAATAACAACTATGGTCCTCCAGTCCCTCCCTCACATATAAAGCAAGCTTCTTCCAGCTGTAAGTTTTTTTGGAAAGATTGCTGCAGCTGCCAAAAGTTTCCAGTAAATCCTCTGAGCTTACACCTTGGGAATCCAGAACAGCTATCATCATATCTTCTCTACTTACAAAGAATTTTAATTAAAAATAAATAAATAAAAAGAGCCTGGCCAGTGTCACTTAGTGGCTTTTGAGTGTCAACCTATGAACCAGGAGATCATGGTTTGATTTCCTGTCAGGGCACATGCCTGGGTTACAGGATCGACCCCCAGTGGAGGGCATGTAGGAGACAGCTGATCGGTGATACTCTCTCATCATTGATATTTTTTTTTATTATTATTGATCTTTTTACAGAGAGGAAGGGAGAGGGATAGAGAGTTAGAAACATCGATGAGAAAGAAACATCGATCAGCTGCCTCCTGCACAGCCCCTACTGGGGATGTGTGCGGAACCAAGGAACATGCCCTTCACCAGAATCAAACCTGGGACCCCGACACTCTATCCACTGAGCAAATGGGTCAGGGCTCATCATTGATATTTCTCTCTCTCTCCCTCCCTTCCTCTCTGAAATCAATAAAAATATAAATAAATAAGGAAAGGAAGAAAGGGGGGGGGGGGGAGGGAGGGAGGGAGAGGGAGAGGGAGAGAGAGAGAGAGAGAGAGAGAGAGAGAGAGAGAGAGAGAGAGAGAGAAGACTGTTGATTTCCCTAGGAATCAGAAATCATGTCAAGTTTCTTGACAAACTCCCCACAGCTATTTCCAATGCAAAGCGGATAGAGATTTCTTGTATGTCCCCAGCACCCTCTGCTACATTAGAGTTCAACTGAATTTTAAATCTATGTTTGATACTTTTCATGGAGCATCGTCAATAATATATTTAACACATTACATATAGTCCTTACTACAAAGTACAAAAAATGTCCTGGTAGCAATGTGTCACTGTCAAAACCAATATTAAATCACCAATTTTCAGAAAACCAGGTTAACTAACCTATGCTTTCTTCTCCTTCCTTCTTTTCTGTCAGAAGAGTTCTTGTCATGCTGAGCTTCTTCATCGTATGGCATTTATATTTTAGCACTGTTTTATTGTTGCCTTCTGCATCCACTAGAACATAAAATAAACTCAATTATTATACTATAATACAATAGTACAAATAAAATAATCATGTTAAGCCTCAATAATTCCAATTTAGTGAGTTACACTACTTCCTGTCTAGATAGTGGAATAAGTTCAAGATTTAACTCCTCTCTCCTGCTCCAAGCATAGAGAAATGACAGATAAAATACATAACAACTGGACTCAAAACAACAAACAACTCCAGGGGACAGCCACACAGAACTATGAGTGAAATTAAAGTGATGGGCCTACTAGGTTCCAGCCCTGAAGTAAGAAAATGAAGCCAGAAACTTGGCTTTACAGGTTAACGCAGTGATGGCGAACCTATGACACACATGTCAGAGGTGATACGCGAACTCATTTTTTGGGTTGATTTTTCTTTGTTAAATGGCATTTAAATATATAAAATAAATATCAAAAATATAAGTCTTTGTTTTACTATGGTTGCAAATATCAAAAAATTTCTATATGTGACACGGCACCAGAGTTACGTTAGGGTTTTTCAAAATGCTGACACGCCGAGCTCAAAAGGTTCGCCATCACTGGGTTAACGAGATCTAAAATTCTACCACACTTGCCCTAGCTGGTTTGGCTCAGTGGATAGAGCATCGGCCTGCGGACTGAAGGGTCCTGGGTTCAATTCCAGCCAAGGGCACATTCCCGGGTTGCGGGCTCGATTCCCAGTAGGGGGCATGCAGAAGGCAGCTGATCAATGATTCTCTCTCATCACTGATGTTTCTTTCTATCTCCCTTCCTCTGAAATCAATAAAAAAAAATACTAAAAATAAATAAATAAAATAAAATTCTACCATACAAAATTACCAATAGTGAGAGAAGGATGAGAAGTCATGCTGCCAACCCCACTGTCTGGGGTTACGGCTTTACAGAAAACTGTGGGCACAGGCAGGAGGGAGGATGAGGATCTGAGCTAAGGATGTGAAACACACTGCAAACTTTCATACACTGCTCCTAGGAGTGTAACTGACGTGTTAGAAAGCAATAGAGTAAGTGGAACTACATGAAACTGTCAATTTTCAGCCCAAATAAGTCATTTCATATTGGTGAACCCAACACAGTCATCAATCTATCTCATTCAGAGTGTATACCTTAAACATTTTTTGCCGAAACCGGTTTGGCTCAGTGGATAGAGCGTCGGCCTGCGGACTGAAAGGTCCCGGGTTCGATTCCGGTCAAGGGCATGTACCTGGGTTGCGGGCACATCCCCAGTGGGAGATGTGCAGGAGGCAGCTGATCGATGTTTCTCTCTCATCGATGTTTCTAACTCTCTATCTCTCTCCCTTCCTCTCTGTAAAAAATCAATAAAATATATTTAAAAAAAAAAAAAAAAAAAAAAAAAAAAAAAAACATTTTTACATATATGCACAGGGAGAGTAAAAATATTCATGACAGCATTTTTGTAATGAGTTAATAAGCATAATTAAGAACACAGACTCTGGAGCAGACCATCTGGGTTCAAATCCTGATTCTGCCTCTTTGTATATGACCTTGCAAATGTTATTTATCTCTTGTGCTTCAGGGTTTTTTTTCAATATAAAATGAAGATAATAATGGGATCTACCCCATATACTTGTGAGGATTAAATGAGTTAACACATGTAATGTTTAGAATAGTGCCTGACATATGTAAAGAAGCCATTCAGTAAGTATTACTAACTAGAGGCCCTATGCACAAAATCCATGCAAGGGTAGGCCTTCGCAGCCCCTGCTGCCTCTCAGCCCTGCGGCCCCAACCCTCACCCACTGGTCGTTCAGGAAAGTCGTTCCACCATCCATTCTAATTAGCATATTAGCTCTTTATTATATAGGACTAGAGGCCTGGTGCACAAAAATTTGTGCACTCAGGGGGGTGCCTCAGCCCGGCCTGTGCCCTCTCGCAGTCTGGGACCCCTCAGGGGATGTCCACCTGCTGGCTTAGGCCCGCACCCTGGGGGATTGGGCCTAAGCTGGCAGTCAGACATCCCTCTAGCAGCCCGGGAGCCCTCGGGCAATGTCCACTTGCCAGCGGGGAGCAGGCCTAAGCTGCAGTCAGACATCCTTAGGGCTGCTGAGGAGGCGAGAGAGGCTCCCGCCACCACCACTATGCTGGCAGCCATCAACCTGGCTTGTGGCTGAGCAGAGCTCCTCCTGTGGGAATGCACTGACCACCAGGGGGCAGCTCCTGCATTGAGCATCTGCCCCCTGGTGGTCAGTGTGTGTCATAGTGACCAGTCATTCCCAGTCGTTCTGCTGTTAGGGTCAATTTGCATATTACCCTTTTATTATATAGGATTACTGGTAATAATGCAAACAACTGGAGAATAAATTGTGGTATAGTCACAAATGGAATACTAAGAAACAGGGAAAACAGAGTTATATATATCAGTATGTATAAGTCTCAAAACATATCTCTAATTAAAGATTATAGAATGATATGCATAATATGCTATAATTTAAAGGGTGTCCCAAAATTCCCGCAAGATTAGAATTTTGCGTGAGCATTAACAACAACAACAAAAAATAAAAGCCTACAGCCGAAACCGGTTTGGCTCAGTGGATAGAGCGTCGGCCTGCGGACTGAAAGGTCCCAGGTTCGATTCCGGTCAAGGGCATGTACCTGGGTTGCGGGCACATCCCCAGTGGGAGATGTGCAGGAGGCAGCTGATCGATGTTTCTCTCTCATCGATGTTTCTAACTTTCTATCTCTCTCCTTTACTCTCTGTGAAAAATCAATAAAATATATTTAAAAAAAAATTTTTTTTAAATAAATAAATAAATAAAAGCCTACAATGGACATAAGACACTGGGGGGTAGAGGAGGCCAGGGGATTGTCAAGGGCGGGAAAAAAAGGAGACATATGTAATACTCTTTGTAATACTTTAAGCAATAAAACAATAAAATAAAAAATAAAAATAAAAGCCTAATTTTACTTGGTTTATTGAATCAGATTCTAATATCTGTTGCCCTTTGATTTCAATCCTTTCAATTTGATAAGCATTACCAAGTACCAATTATGGCCCAGGAGCAGAGACAATGAAGACCAATGAAGACCGTATATGCCAGCAAAGCCATGGAGGCCATTTACCCGATGTGCTATTCCATACATAACCCTATACTATAAACTTTATGAATCAATAAAAAATTTACAATTTTTAATTATAAACCTGTGTTTTCTATCAAAACTCCTTCTTGCATGAATTTTGGGACACCCTTTATATAAAGTCTAAAAATTTATATAAAATTTATACAAAAAATGTTATTTTTTGTGCATACATACATATGTAATACAAAATCAGGTATAGGAGCCCTGGCTGGTTTGGCTCTGTGGTTAGAGCGTCGGCATGCGGACTCAAGGGTCCCAGGTTCGATTCTAGTCAAGGGCATGTACCTTGGTTGCAGGCACGTCCCCAGTACGGGGTGTGCAGGAGGCAGCTGATGGATGTTTCTCTCGCATCGACGTTTCTAACTCTCTATCCCTCTCCCTTCCTCTCTGTAACAAAATCAATAAAATATTAAAAAAAAAAAAATCAGGTATAGGAAAGAGAAACAGCAACTTAAGGTAAATGTCTGTCTGAGGACAGAAGGGAGAGAATAAATTTGGAGAGGGGTATACAAGCGGCTTCAAAAGTATCTGGAATGCTTTCTATCTATCTGGCAAAATGGTAGAATTTGATACAGCTAGACAATGAGAATATAAAATGTTTAATTTTAATATTCACTGTACATACATGTTTTAAGTATTTCGTAGTAAAAAGAGTCACCACAAATCACTTACCATGTTCAACATTTTCTTCAAATATAACACAGGTCCCAAGAGTGTCTGTGGAAAAATTTAAAGGTAACTTGTTAAGAAATAACAGAGCTACATTCTCTGAAAAGCATATTTAAAAAGGAGTTTCATCTGTCTGACCTCCTCCTACCTTCATACTCTCCAGCAAATACATAGCTGTCCACTTGCAGAATGGGCCTCTCAGTGTCAATTCCCTACATCAGAATACAGGATCATAAAAAATCATTAGAAAAAGCCACAGAGGTTGGGTAAAATGGGTGAAGGTGGTTAAAAGATACAAACTTCCAATTATGAAATAAATAAATCCTGGGGATGTAACATACAGCCTAATGACTACAGTTAATAAAACTCTATTGTATCTTTGAAACTTGCTAAGAGAATAAATCTTAAAAGTTCTCATCACAAAAAAGTAAAATTTATAACTATGTGTGATGACGGATGTTAACTAGACTTAGTGGGGGTGATCATTATTTCACAATACGTACAAATACTGAATCATTATGTCATACCCCTGAAACTAATATAAAGTTGTATGTTAATTATATCTCAATTTTTAAAAATGAAAGAAAAAGCCTTCCACACGTAACCCTGCTACCAAGAGCAGGGGTGGGGAAGTCCGGACGGTGGGCCCTCAAAATCATTTGGTCTGGTTTTGCCAAGACTTAGGGTGTGTTAATGAAATGTTTGACCAAATATAGCAGGCTAAGTTTTAGGTTGATAATTTTGTATGGCCCCTGAATGATGTTATAAATATCCACATGGCACTTGGCTGAAAAAAGGTGCCCCACGCCTGTGCTGGCGTCTAGAGCTGGTGTCCTGGCAAGCACTGCTCTGACCCCCGCAGCTCCAGCCTGAAGACCACCCAAGAAATAGGTCTATTTCGGTCAACATGCTCTTCAAGTCAGCCTAAGAGCAGGGAAGTATGGTCAACAGTTGCTCCAAGATTTTAAAGCAAAGTGATAAAACAGGTGGTAACGCAGAACACAATAGCTCAAGACAGCAGAGTGTGAGGTCTTTGAAGTCTTTTCTTAGTAGGTACCTTCTCTCCCTCCTCCACATTTCACCTGTGTGTGCATATCGCATTACCCTCTCTCCCACCTCACTATCTAAAACCATGCATTCTTTTCTAAGTATCAAAATGCCACTTCCTCCAAATCTTCAACTCTCTGCAGCCATACATCCAGACACTCACGCAGAGTTAGGCATCTTCTCCCACCTGCTCCCACAGTCCCCGGTACCTCTACGATTGCCTTTAGAGTTCACTGCTTTGTAACGTGGAATTAATGGATCAGTCCCCACAGTTCACCGTTCATTCTTGTTCTAAATTTATGAAAATCTACAACCACTCCCCAATTCCAGAAGACTCACCAAAATCTTGCATTTATTTTCACATTTTGAGAGAAAGTCTGAATCGATAATTCCTGACAATTCCACCAGAACCAGCTGCTCCTGGTGGGAGAAGGAGGAGTTAGCATGCTAGCACGCGGGTGCTGTGCAGGAAGAGGCAGTTACCAGGCGCGCCCCCGCACCCCCACACCCCCACGGCAACGACCCCACCTCCGTGAAAACTAGGGCTTGCTTTCGAGGAGAGGAAGCGAGCGCCGTTTCCAAAAGCGACTTCCTCCACTTCCCCATTCAGACCAGACTGCTGCAGTCGGGGCTGCGGCCAGCTCCCCCGAGCCCCCTCCACACCTCCCCCGGGCCTCCAGCCCCCGCCCGCAACCCCAGGGGCAAGAAGCGGGCGAGGCGCCCGTAGGGGCTCCGAGCTGCCGGCGCACCCACTCCCTCCCCCTCCCGCTGCCAGCGCGGCCCTCACCGCCACCGCCCCTCGCACAGGCTCCCCGTCGTAGCCCTCACTGCTTCCCCTACCTCCTCCTCCACGTCCGGGGGACTCCGCTCCACCGCGGCGGCCATGATCCCACCCCTCCCCCGGCCCCCAGGGGATGGCCACGCCCACGGCCGCCGATACCACTCCTCCCCACGGCCCCCAGTGGATGGCCACGCCCACCGCGGCCGCCAGTGGATGGCCACGCCCACCACGGCTGCCATCTTGAGTCCGGGCAGCGCCCGCCCCTCCGGTCCTGCTGCTGCTCAGGCCCCTAAACCACTCCTTGCAGGCGGCAAGGTGGTCACCCCGTGCCCAGGTGGAAGCCGGTTCCATGCCCGTTCTTTTCTTTCTTTTAGTTATTTATATTTTTATTGATTTTAGAGAGGGAGAGAGAGAAACATCCATAATTGATCAGCTGCCTCTGGCATGCCCCCTACTGGAGATCGCTTGCAACCTGGGCATGTGCCCTGACGGGGAATCCAACCCAGACCTTCTGGTTCATAGGTGGATGCTCAACCATTGAGCCACAAACCCGCGGGGCTCCTTGTTCCTTTCTGGAGAGCAGAAGCCGGGTCCTGGCTGGCTTGGGGGTCCTGGGACCCAGGGATCCATCGCGTAGGCCCCGCCCCAGGTGGGCGGAGAGGGCCGGGAGGGAGAGGGGATGGAGGAGTGCAAGCAAGGAAACCACCACCTGCAGGGGCATGCAGAGGCTGTGTTAGCCAAGCCTCCTTTCTTTGGAATAAATTCTTAATATTTGGAGGGGAAAAAGAAAGTAACTTCATAGGGTGATCTGATTGAAAATTACTAACGGGGCGTGTCAAGGTGGCTGGTCACACCCCAGGCATATAACTTTATTTAGTAGAGGCCTGTATTCGCTTTTAGCAAGCCCTGCCCTTGTTTCTGTGCACCCCTATGACTCAGCGGTTCTCAACCTGTGGGTCGAGACCCCTTTGGCGGTCCAACGACCCTTTCACAGGGGTCGCCTAAGACCATCCTGCATATCAGATATTTACATTACGATGCTTAACAGTAGCAACATTACAGTTATGAAGTAGCAACGAAAATAATTTTATGGTTGGGTCACAACATGAGGAACTGTATTTAAAGGGCCAGAAGGTTGAGATCCACTGACTAGGTTAACACACTTCTGAAATAAGCAGTAGTCACCCTCAAGAGAGCACACAGTCTTAACTATCCTGTAATCCAATCCCTGCATTGCCTTCTCCCACATCCTTGTAACTGTTCTTAGTTCCCTCCTTAATCAAATGCATTAACAAAACGTATTCTCTGGAGCATTTGAGATCTCGCTCCCTGGCATATGGCATCAGTTTGGCTCAAATTCTTATAAAAACTCTCCGCAGGTATAGTCGGTCTTATGTGACAATATCATGTGAGCACTAATCCTCAATTTACATTTATCCTGAGCCAAATTAAGAGCACATTTCAATGAACTAGTGGGGGTGCAGAATGAGCTACCTAAAGATGTGTTTCTGTGGAATGCAGATTGTTGAGCTAAAGGCAATTTTAGCTTCAGCCTCAAGAGAAACTTCTTTACCTAGAAGAGCTTGAATTAGGGGCTTACCCATAATATGTTATCAGTGGTAACCGTTTTGACCCTACCTATATGGCAGGGAAGCTTTTATTTACTAAATATCTGCTCTTCTTATCTTGCCCCCTTTGAAGCCCCCTAGGCACTTTACTTCATCCCAAGCTCATCCCCCTTGTATACCTCAATCCCCCTTTCTATCTCTGAATCTGTCCTGTATGTGTGTGTGTGGAGGGGGGTGGGGGGCAGTGTCTCTGTGTCTCTCATGTACATGGGATTTCCATACATATTCTAGGTATTTACAAAAACATGTATACAAAATCTGTAAAGTAATTTTCACATAGCACTCAGACTACAGAAACATTCCCTTGGAAGGAAAGAAGACATTATAGTACTGGCTTCATGGCCTAGAGCTCATGCCCTTTGAAAATTCACTTAAAGGTTGAAACCACTCTCAGACAGAAAACAGGAACTTATTGGGCAGAATAACTCTTCAACATTGGCTTTGAAAGAGGGCGAAAATGAAACCTTTTGGTGATTGGGAGGAGTTTCCATGATACATAGTCAGAGTTTGTTCTTAATAGGTTTACTCTCAATCTTAAAAAAAGATAAGGTCCAGCCCTAATCTGTTTGGCTCAGTAGATAGAGCATCGGCCTGTGGACTGAAGGGTCCCAGGTTCGATTCCGGTCAAGGGCATGTACCTTGGTTTCGGGCACATCCCCAGTAGGAGTGTGCTGGAGGCAGCTGATCGATGTTTCTCTCTCATCGATGTTTCTAACTTTCTATCCCTCTCCCTTCCCCTCTGTAAAAAATCAATAAAATATATATTTTTTAAAAAGATAAGGTCCAGATGCCAGCTTAAAAAGACTAAATTATCTTTATTATCTTTGCTTAAAAGTAGAAGCAATAAAAAATGTGGTATGCCTATATAATAGAATCATATTCAGCAATAAAAAAGGAATGACATAAAATAACATGCTACAGCATTGTTGAACTTGAAAACATTACTTTAAGAAACCATTCACAAAAGCCCACATGTTGAATGACTCCATTTATATGAGATGTGTGCTGTGCCAGCACAGCCAAGGGTTCGGTGAGCCTGAGGAGGGGCGGTGAAGGATTAAAGAAGACAGACAAGAGAATACAGCTGGGGCTCAGTGCATCTCCCATGCCTGGATGAGGTCACAGAAAGACCCAGCCAGCAAGCCTAGGCTTTATTTTATAGTGAGATTAAAGCATGTCAACATGTTTACAATGTTCTTGCGAGTTTCACCTTGTTTTGGCAGCACTTGTTGCACCTCCCACAGCCCATTAGCTACCTATGAAGGAACTAGGGAGGGCTATAGGTTAAGCTTAATTATGCTGAGAGGGCTCTACCCTCCAAGCTGGGATTTGTTTGTGGCCCTGCCACAGGTTAGTCTGAGGCTTAACCCTAGAGCCGCTCCCTACAGAGATGTCCAAAGCAGGCAAGCCTATAGAGAGAGAAAGTAGATTAGTGGCTGTCAGGGCCCGGGGATGAGGAATGACTGCTACTGGATGTGGGGGTTCTTTTGAGAATGATGAAAATGTTCAGGAATTAGTGGTGATGGCTGCAGAACTCTGTGGATACTGTATACTAAAAATTACTTTATACTTTAAGAGTAAATTTTATACTTTAAGAGTATACTTGTCCATCACACACCTGTCAAAATGGCTGTCATCAACAAATCAACAAATGACAAGTGCTGGAGAGGATGTGGAGAAAAAGGAACTCTTCTGCCGGGGTCCAACCCCAGCAGGTCCAGGGGTCCCCAAAGGCGTCTCAATGGGGGGGGGGGGCTTACCTAGGGGAATCCTGTTCCAGGGGTTCCCAAAGGTGTGGACGGAGTCGGCGAAGACTATCCACCCTCTTCCTACGGTGGAGTCCTATCCATCCCGAGAGTGGGGCTTACCTAGGGGTCCCTGTTCGGGCGCCAGATGCCGGGGTCCAACCCCAGCAGGTCCAGGGGTTCCCAAAGGCGTAGATGGAGTCGGCGAAGAAGGAATGACACAGAGACAGCGTTCAGTTGATCAGCAGCCTAGCCAGGATCTCCAGCCAGGATCTCCAGCCAAGTTCTGGTCTGGATCTCCAGAGAGGTTCTGCCCAGGATCTCCAGCCAGGTTCTGTGTCCATATTCTCTTGCTAGGTTCTCCAGGTTCTCCAGCCAGGTTCTGTGTCCATATTCTCTTGCTAGGTTCTCCAGGTTCTCCAGCCAGGTTCTGTAGCCAGGTTCTAGTCAGGTTCTTTTGCCAATTTCTGTAGTCAGGTTCAGTCTAGGATCTTTTGCCATGTTCTCTCCAGCGAAGTTCTTCTGTCTCTAGATTCTGTGTAGGTTCTGTCTTCTTGGTCCTGTCTTCTGAGTTCTGTCTTCTGTTGTCTTGTTACAACTGTATTTATACCAGTCGATTCCAATCCTATCAATCTCTATTCCAAAGGTTAGGGCGTTTCTTATCTCCATTCCAGGGAGTAAAGATTATGTAGCTTAAGCAATATTGTGCATAGTTAAAGTGATTAATTACCCGCCTGGCACTTAGTTAAGAGGTTTTATTCCCTCCCTAACTTCAGGGGAAAATCCCTAACTGGGGAAACAACCTTTCTCAGAGACCTTGGTTAAAACACATAGTGCCAAGAAGGTGAGTAAACATATTAAGAACAGTATGCCATATATGCCAGGTCCCTTGAAACAGCAAGGATGGACCGGCTCCCGGCATTTTATTTTGTTTGTTTTTTTCCTTTGACTCAAACTAGCCTCACCTTGACTTACCCACCTCCCTCTCCCTTGCTTAATCATTAAGCCCCCAGGACAATGAGGTTCTGGTCATCATCCAGTTGTCTTAGAAACAAGGTCCTGGATCTATTGACTATTGAGACAGTTTTTTTTTTAATAATTTTTTTTTGTTGAAAATATTACATATATCCCCTTTTTCCCCCATTGACCCCCTCCAGCCTGCCCCCTCCCCCGTCCCCCTATCCCAGGCCTTCTATTATCTATGTCCATATATGCATACAAGGTCTTTGGTTGTTTACCTCCTGCCGACTCGCCCTCCCCTGCCTTCCCTCTGAGATTCTGCACCCTGTTCCATGTCTCTGGATCCACTCCGTTCAGCAGTTAATTTTGTTACTTAGATTCCACATAGGAGTGCAATCATGTGATACTTGTCTTTCTCTGACTTATTTCACTTAGCATGATACTCTCCAGGTCCCTCCATGCTGTCTCAAAGGGTAAGAGATTCTTCTTTTTTACTGCTTCATAGTATTCCATGGGGTAAATGTACCACAGCTTTTTTATCCACTCGTCTACTGATGGGCACTTGGGCTGTTTCCAGATCTTAGCTATTGTAAATTGTGCTGCTATGAACATAGGGGTGTAATCATTATTTCTGATTGGTGCTTCGGTTTTCTTAGGATATATTCCTTGAAGTGGGATCACTGGGTCAAATAGCAGTTCCATATTTAATTTTTTGAGGAAACTCCATACTGTTTTCCATTGTGGCTGCACCAGTCTGCATTCCTGCCAGCAGTGTACTAGGGTTCCTTTTCTCCACATCCTCGCCAGCACGTGTCATTTGTTGATTTGTCGATGGTAGCTATTCTGACAGGTGTGAGGTGATACCTCATTGTTGTTTTAATTTGCATCTCTCTGATAATCAGTGACTATTGAGACAGTTTTCAGTCAAGCTAAACATAATATCTTGGCCTCAGTTGTATTGTAGCTCCAGACCCAGGAAAGCAGAATGATCCCACAGAACAAATCTTAGCAAAATTGGACAGAACAACTCCAT